AGAGGTTTGAACTCACAACCTCAGTATGTCTCATACACGTACTGATTTATAAGTGCTGCATGCTGACCCATTGTGCCACTGGTGCAGCGCTTCAAAATACTTGTTCAAAGTCCTTAGATTGAAAAAGTCAAGAAGCACAAAGTGGAATTGAGCAAGTGGGGCAAGACGACCAATTCTGAAAGATTTGCACAAACCAACACCTCACCAGAAGGTATGAACTCAGCTTGCAGGAGTCAAAGTTCTGCTTTGTGCCTGAGGCTCTTGGCTAGTTGATGCTCTACTCTCCTTGATTGTTCCAATCAACTGCTTCACCTCTCCAGACCCTGCCTTACTGGTATTGGCCTCACGGAAATGATCCAGCTTCCTCTCTGGCAAAGGAGAAACATTGCCATGTGTTACACACATTGGCACTATGCAGACACTTGCCCTGTTCCCCTGCCCTGAGCTTTATGGGACAGGGAGACGCTCCAGGAGATGGTTCCCCTGGGATCATATCTCATATGGATTCAAAGGCTGTAGGTACCCAGACCCACCCTGCAATCAGGAATGCTGCTTCCTAGAAGCTCCCACCTAGAAAACAGGTCAGGAAGAAGCTGGGGAGAGATGAGTACCAGAGGTTTTTGGGTTGGAGAGTACAACTTCTCAGCTCTTGGGCTAAGTTCAAGAGCGGCAAAGGAAGAGGCGGGGAAGTGGCTGCAAGATGCTCTGCATGGCCTGGGGATCCAGCCCAAGAGCTGTCCCCATGTTTTTTGCTGTAAAGCGTTGCTTCTTGGCCGTTTGGCTAAGATCAAGTACTTCTTTTCTTTCGGAGAGGACGAAGAGCAGTGCAAGGCAACCCTCGGTTACTGGACACAATTGTGCCCATTTTGGAGGGTTAAAGTAAAATCTCCCTAGGAAGTGTTGCTGCTCCCAGCCCACATTGTATTGGTTAAGAATTGACCCCAGGTCAAGTGCTAGGAAATCAACTATGCTCACCATTATACCACCAATACCTGCACCTGCAGTTTGTGCAAAATTTAGTGAGGCAAGCTGGAGCCGAGAGGATGCCTGTGTGGTTTGAGGTAAACCAGAACTTGATGAGTCAAACTAAGACTCACTAAATCAAACCCTGAGGGCACCCCCACCAGCTTCCAGTACTTCTGCTATTTGAGCCCTTTGGCTTCCTGCTGTGGGGACATGGACAAACTGAAGAAAGCCAACTCCAGCTACATACTCTTAGGGTACGTCTACACTACGGCGCTAATTCGAACTAACTTAGTTCGAATTAGTTAATTCGAACTAAGCTAATTCGAACTAACACATATAGAACTAAAAACTAGTTCGACTTAGCGTTTTGCTAATTCGAACTAGCGCGTCCACACTGATTGGACGCAGGGGGCGCATTAAAGGGCAGCTGAAACCGGTTCTGGCAGGGCATCAAGTCTGTAGTTGCTTTGTGTGGCTGCTGTCTGAGGCTATCTGAAGCTCGAGCTTAAAGGGACCCCCCTGGACAGCCGGTTCTCAGCAGTTCCTGCTTGCTTGCCAACCTCGCTGAGGGACAGCAAAGCGTCGATCTCTGTGCCCGTCTGTGTTGGTGCTTCCCTTCGGGGGGGCCGCTGCAGGTGGCAACATGGAGCCACAGCTCGCCCTGCACCTTCTGGTGCACTTTCTGGACTTGCTGCTGCAAGCCTGCCAGCAATGGCTCGAGGCTGCCTGGCACCACCTGG